CAAGAAGAAAAGGGACAAGAAGAGAGGGACACAACCTAGAACAGAGAATGGATGTCTATTCTATCTATTCTCATAAACATTCCCTGGTTCTGCAGAAACTCTTGGCTGGACAGTTTTCATTGAATTTACTCTTCTTCATGTTGTCCAGATTAAACGTTAGCGGCTCATCACCCCCTAGGTCCGACAGCGTTTTCATTGGTTCCGCTATCGGTGATGATTACAGCAAAAAATATCGTCAATTATTTTTGTGTTTCATATGGATTACAAAAATAATATCCTATTTATGACATGATAACTATTTTACTACCTATGAAAGACATGTTATTACCAGTTAAGGATTTAGTTTGATATTGAAGAATAAAATGACTTTTGAGACCCTAGGGGGTTTGAGGATGACCTCTGACCTCCAGGACCACCTGTCTAAAAGTTCTGGACATGATGGCGAGCGTCTGAATGAGGGACCCCCCCCGGTCCTCCAGAGCCAAAGCTGATCCTAATTAGATCGGCCAACATCCGTCTGACTGACTATTCTAATAAAATGTTTCTATCTGTAGAATGGGGCTTTTTTATGTGTCGTCTTCTCAGTTCAGAGGGTCCCCTCCCGGTCTCTGCCTAGGGATCCAAATTTCTTAAATCCGCCCCTATTTAGAGGAAATGACAAAGGTTCTCCTTCCGCTGCTGGAACAAAAACATTGTTTCAATCTTTATTTTTGGGCTTGTACACTTATTGTTTGATTGATAATTTATTAACAAAAAGAACAATGTGTTTCTGACATCACAAATAGTGAGAACAGACTATGGTTCTGTTTGAATTTATAGGTCCTTAGAAGGCCAGATTCGAAGGCCGATTACGTCATAGCGCGGCGCCGAGGTCTGGTCGGATTATAAGACTCCTCGTTATGTCGCCTTAAAATGCGTCCTTCTTTTTGCCCGATTTGAAGGACGGGTCTGATATATCCTCTCTAGCCTTGGATATCCCAGGACTTATTGGGAGTCCAAGCTAGCTGATCAGAGGAAAAAGGGAAATGGTGCCGAACAGTGGTGAATATTGGAATTTCAGTTTAATATAATACAAGTATGAATAGTTCCGTCCAAAATGGTTATTGAGTCAGATATGTGGCTGAAATGTTTGATTTAACTAAAGGTTTTTATCTGTTACTGTGTAAATGGGTTTGGCTGGAATTTAAGGACAGATTTTAAAAGTATCTGCATCGTGGGGACTATAAATCTGATTGGATAAAAAAAAAATGTTATTGCTATTTTGTACTGTTTGCTTAAGTAAGCATTTTTTGCTTTTGAATATAAAACATTTTGCAGATATATTTTTATACATACTTAGTTTAGATTTACTACACTGGAAAAAATCCAAATCTAGATAAGAATTTTTTTCTTAAAATAAGTGCATTTGTTCTTGAATTGAGGAGGTAAAAGAGACATTTTGCAATGGAACAAGACAATTTGCACTTAAAATAAGAAAACACAATTGCATTGTCTTATTTCAAGTGCAT